TAATTTCATTGTAAATAAAATCCTTATTTTGTCCACCCAAACCCAAAAATGAATGTGAGTCTACATGGGGAATATCTCTACTCCCCATATATGGCTACCGAAAGAGGTCTATCCTCAGTAGTAATTAAATGACATTTTCTTATTTTCCTGATTTATAACAGCCAATGTTGTTATTCTGAATAATGTATTTGAGTTCTTTCAACCTCAAGTTGTGCAAGCGAGGTACGTAAATTTATTTTTAGCATAAAATTCAAGTTTTATCACTATCACAAAAGGCTTTTTATTGGGCGTTTAAAAACAGAGTTCTTATTACTGAATGTAAGTTGGCTGTTTGCCTCTTGCTGACTTTCACACTTGAAAATAATATATTTATATATTTTTTTAGAACATGGCAGTTTCTTCGCTCGTCTATAACCAAGAAAGGATGTATCATAGTGTCTGTACCAAGCCTTGAAGAGGCAACGAAGCTCAGCTCTTTCAATAATCAGGTAACAATGAGAAATCCCATTGTATGTTCACACTTTTAATGTAGCTGTATAATRTACTAGATTGGGCATCATTGAGGGGGTCAAGGAAAGATGGGTTCTCCAAGTTTATTCAAGTAAAATGTAAAGAAAGAGAGAATTACATGAAGTACTATTAGGCGATCRGCAAAAATTGTGAATCAAATTGGACGGGTGGGAGGCCTAGTAGGGTGTGTGCCTCTTGTTGTCCTTGCCTTTTTTGGTCTAAATAGTCACACCAAAATTCATTGCATAATGTCACACCAAAGTCACACCAAAACTCRTTGCATAAAGTATTCACCGGCTCATCCATATTAGTCAAATCCAACTAGTGTTCTATCATCAATGCTGCGTTCTGATTGGATGAGCTACAACTAGGCTACAAGTTATATCCTACTAATATTGAAAAATGCCGGCTTTGAAAACCAAAACATTAAATTTAATTTTAATTCAAAACTTGTTTGCATCGATTTATTTGACTGACTGGTTTAGTCCTTTTGTCTGCATGGCCTATGAGTCAATAGCCCATTCATGATCGAGGACAAATTGCTAATTTGTCTTCTATCTGGTCATTGGATTTTACCTCATCGTATTATCTCACTCGTCTATTAATGACATCAAGACAATTCAATTGGCTGGTATAAATCTCTTCCAAAATGCTAAAGATGTCAAAATTGCTATTAACTTGGAAAAAATGGACAATAATCTAAAGAACTGTCAAGCACCAGTAATAACTTCGCAATTTTTATTCAGACAGAAAGAACTCAAGAATCAGATGTCTTTAGACAGCCTTTCTTCAATTATTTAATCCATCAAGTTACCCTTTTTTTAATTTAAATTATGTGCAATATTTATAAATTATCTTTTCTTCATTTATTTAGTACATCATAGATCTAGATAACTGGGTTGATCGACTTCTCTTGGATGGTGTTTCTTTAAAGCAAACAACAAACATACAACATAATGAAGTGGAAACCAAAGAAATATATTTTTACCAAGTCAAGTGACAATTTCATTGCCTGCTAGCATGACAGCTCTGCGCTCGATAGCCACCTATGAAATTTAATTTTAAAACTTAAAACTTTTTAAAATGATTAATTAAACTCTATTATACTTCTTGTAGTGGACCTATCAATGTCTTGCCCCAGGGGAGGGGGGAAGGCAGATTATTCATGTCTTCTCATCCCTTATAACCATCCATCACTACCTTTTAACCGTATCTATCATCCCGTGCTGTAATAATGTTACTATAGTGAAACACATACGTCGATTTATTCATACTCGAATTTAAACCAGTCATTGACCAGTTAACTTATCTTGATACAAGTATACTGTTGAAATGGCTTCCAGCTGGCCAATACCTAAAATGAAAGATTGAAAGATGTTGTATTAAGCAGGTTTTTGTCGGAGTAGGGTTTCATGCACCATGGTACTTCATTCACGGCTGTACTTCACCATGGTACTTCAAAGTCTCTTCATTCTGTTCGTTTAAGTCAGGTCGTAAGCCATTCGCGGCATCCCACGCTATTTTCTCTGTTTTTCCAAACGCCACCACATGAGCTTCACATCCCTTTTCGACATCAGCTAATGAAAGGACAATTACCATAGCACTGTGCTGGGAATTGATCAAATTAGCAGTCTGCAAGAGTGTGTCAGCTTTGCAGTTGAAGCGTCCACCTGCAAGATACACCGAGGTGTCGTACCCTAGAGTCGCCATGACGGGCGCAAGAAGGAGCTGTGGTGTAGAACCATTAATTCTAGGATTGACATCGATAATGTAACTGTTATCTTCCGTAGTAAGAATATCGATTCCAACAATACCAAAATAGCCTTGTTTATGAAGGTACTCTTTCACTGGAACTACTTTATCATAAAGAAGGGACTTGAGTCTGGTCTGATCGCCCCAGTTGACTACCCCTCCCCCCCAAATGAAGTTGTCTCCAATAATTTGATTAGTGACTCCTAACCAATGAATCTCTCCAGATTTATAGAGGTAAAACTGTAAGCAGTTGTTGCCAGTGATGCCTTCTATGACCTCGGTTATTACTGGTGCTTGACAGTTCTTTAGATTATTGTCCATTTTTTCCAAAACCCTCTCCATTTCTTGCTTCGTTTCTACTTTGAAAGTTCCTTTAGTCCCTGTTCCATGAGCAGCCTTAACCATACATGGAAGAGTATAGTTGTCCGTGGTCATGTATTGAGGATGATTTGCACCCATATGAGGTATGCACCTCTTGGAAAGAAGCCAATAATGAACCTGGGGGTCGACTGCATGCTTGCTCGATGGGATCTTCTGATGTTGAAATGACGTTACTATTCGACCACATTCCTGAATCTCACTAATAGGTTTAATAACGGGCTCTTCGTATCCTGGTACCCATTTGTTCCAATGATCCTTTAAGCTCGTGCTGGGATAGCCACTTAAAATTAGTGGTAGTTTATTCCCAGCTACAGGACATGCTCGTAGAGGCAACAAATACTCGTTTTTAAAGGCTGTTGGTGGAGGAAAGTCGTACACCAAAAACTTCTCGTCGTTGACGAATCGAAGACCTTTGTTCGAAGTTGAAGGAAACTCGAAGAGTATTGTTCCATCAGGAAGATCTTGGCTGAAAAGATTTGTAAGTGTTACCAAGCTCACTGGAAGACCTTTCTCTAACTCTGCTTTATCTTCTGTTATGAATTCCATCTTCGGCTTTTTGATCTTACCCTAACCAGAACAATCTTAATATCAATGAACGTTATGTTAAATAATAACAAAGCAAATGTCAGTGGTAGGGCTTCATAACTTGATAGATGTGTTGATCGTCACAGCGAATGAGCGATCTAAGCGAACGCTGTAAAGAAAGACTTGAAAAAGTGATTTCAAGCTTCAACGGGAATCGAACCCATGACCTCCGCGATGCCGGTGCGATGCTCTGCCAACTGAGCTATGAAGCCAATCATGTTGGCGAGCGGTCATTTTTGTTGGGTTCTTCAAGCCCCCATAGATAATAAGTGTGGAAATTGAATGGGCAGAACTGTGGTGGAATAATGATAGATGTGTTGATCATCACTGTGATGATCAACACATCTATCATTATTCCACCACAGTTCTGCCCATTCAATTTCCACGCTTCATAACTTATTATRAATTCATGAGAAAAACACAATAGAAACCACGACCGTGAAGAGTGCTGTAAACCTGATACAAAATTGTGTTCCACATTTGCATAAACTTTAAGTTGATTAGAGTGTAATATTGCGAAATAAGCTCGACTGTATTTCACGCGTTTATGAGAATCACTATAATTATGTGAAATATTAATCTGGTTCATAGTGATCACATGTTATGAAGTGAAAACGTCATGAAAAAAATTTTCGCCAACAAGTAAATCTTGATAAACTGATTAAAAAAAAAWATCTTGTATATTTGATGTCTCCTATCAGTTTTGGTTGAGTGATAGTGCATTAATAAAAAACTAATACGCTCTAATAAATTACTTGGCTTTACTTGAGGCATTAATTGTAAAGAACTAAGAGGAATCATTTCTCGCATCAAAAACATCCAAAGTTTTCATAAAAATAAAATTCTAAACGACTTGCTGCAGCTAGTGCTGGGCAGATCGTTTTACTTTACAAACTACGCTTTGGCGCACTGTTTGATGTGCGACCTGTTCAACATTGAGAACTATTGAACTCATACTGACCGATATCAAGAAACACTGGGCGTCTGTCAATGACGGGCCACAAACACTAGCCTTATTTTTCGCTGATGCAGACTTTAATGGCCAATAATTTTAAAAACAACGAATACAATAATATAAAGTGATAACTAACGAGAGGAAAGTATTCGTGAGTTGAGCTGTTTTGCTCTATACATCTGGGCAGCCTTTACGAAGGGTGGATAGCGCTATATCCAATGGACAAGTCTGAGTCAAGTCGAAGACTGTTATCCAATAAATGTATTCACTGCTGGATAAGATTTTAAGGGAGGATAGCGCTATCCATTTTTCGTACAACAGGGCTCTGATGTGTTTAAAAGACTTCTCAAATACCATAATCTATATTTATTAGAATCATTATCTGGTTGAACACTCTAACACTTGCTAAAATGTAGAACAAAGCAAATGACTGCATCAATCTTACCTTGCGTTTTTTATGTTCGATGTCAGTCTTTTGGGATGGATTTAGAGTTTCAGTAATGTCACAACCAGGGAATGACTATCTAACTTAATAAGCCAACACTTTTATTTGCGGCCCTCGGGATGTATATGGCTTATTACCTTCGTTCTCGGTAATTAACTCTTACGTTGCAGTGCTTGGGAACGAGGTTATTCCGGGCGAAAGCCCTTGGAATTAAATTCGGAAAAATTAATTTCCGACCTCGCTGGGAATCGAAGCCACAACCTTCGGAATTGTTCTACCGATGCTCTTCCAGCTGAGCTAGAGGTCAGACTGAGAGCAGGCCGGGGTGAAATAGATGTTAGGTCGCGGTAATTATGATGCAAAGATGAGAGTATGTGGACCGCGTGGCACTAATGAATTGGTAGAAGATAATATAGGTAAGTTGTAGTGCTTGGGAACGAGGTTATTCCAGGCGAAAGCCCTTGGAATTAAATTCGAAAAAATTAATTTCCAACCTCGCTGTCTAATAAATAAATAGTATTGTTTAATGAAGAGCATCTTATTTACCATATCAGCATGACGGCAACGTATTTTTTTTGGCCCATTATAAATAAATTTCCATTGGAGTTTATAACCATTAAGTATAGGTAATAGGACTACATGCTGTTCAATTTGGAAATAATTGGATGAAAAAAATTCCGAGGACTGTCAAAATTGGAAGAGGCCGATCAGTCCAATTTGGCAGTCAGAGGAATGTTTTTCGAATAATATTGTATCTTTTGTAAATTGTGAGGGAATCGCTTAGTCTGACTGGCTGCAGTATACAGAGTAGCTGCTCTTATGAATCAATCAATAGAAACCACGGCACCCTGATCCCCGGGTAAGACAGAGGAAGACCGGGAAACTGAAAGTAACATTAGCCTAATGTGAAAGTGACGCTTTTCACAGCCTTACCGAGAGAAACCATTGCAGTCACGCGCGAAAAGATGATTGTTAACGACCCGATAATTTTCACATTTAGAAGTGATCCCCATAATTTTCGTTAAAAAAAACCCGAAAAATTGATCAATGTATATAGAAACCTTTTTCACTAGACATTTGCGTAATTCAAGCATCATTTTTAGGTCAATTTTAGACTATAAAATCAAATCGAATTTAACAATTTACCTTCCCGTCCCAACCCCGCACGAATTGTTTTGTGTGTGTTTGCTCGATATTTCTTTACTGAAAGGTGGTCCGCCCCTGAGATACACCTCCAAAAGGTAGAGGCGATCTTGCAAATGGAAATACCAGCAGAAGTTCACGGTTTAATTGTCCATCTCGACGTCGTATGGTTAATCCCGTAAAAAAACCCGAACTGAAATTCCATCACACGTGTGCATAGTCCAAAACCGGTTTGGTCACTTGTTGAATTTCGGCCGTCAGTCGATCAGACTGCGTTTTTTTAATTCTTTACATCCCAGTGGAAGTTCACCGACTTAGAGTTGTACCGGCTAGACTTGGCCAGACTACGTACCTGCCGCGCATGCGTATATGCCGTTGGGCCTTTTTTGTTAAGATTATACTTGCGTGCTCCTCTTGTCGCCCGCAATTAATTTAGTTTGAAAATTGTAATGTTATCGGTTACTTAAAAAACCCTTTGACTCTTTGACAAAGGCTTTGGAGCTAAACAATAGCAGCAAGCCAAAGAAACACCACAAGATAAGCCAACATTAAAATAATCGGGGGGAAATCCCATAACTTAATGTGTGTCCTAGAGCAAGTCTCTGTTAGCTGATAAGTAAAAGACAGCTATTATTGATTAAACAAGGCTACACACGCTCAGAGCACAAAATTTAACAGTAAATATTTCAATAAAATCAGAATTGGAATGGTTATCTGTAACAAATCCCCGGAAAGAAACCTCTTATAATTGTATGTATATCTAATCCAGGTCATGTAAATGTTAAAATATCACTCGGGTAGTACATTAGACTTGCCGAACAGTTGACCTGCACTGACAGAGTAGCATTTTAAAATCAGTAGAAAAAAGATGACAAAGTTAGTCAAAACAAAAACACTCTGAGCTAAACCAAAATAAGGAAAATTAAAACTATGGGGRAAAACAGTTCATTAATCGGGTGGCATAGACAATACAAGGAATTAAAAAGTAGAATTTCTCTATATTATAAAACACTGAGCAAGGATCCCTTCAGGGTATTTAATCATACACGTTTGAAAAACATCCTTTTTCACTCGCTCCTCGCCCTGATCTAAGTCTGTCATAGAATCGACTTGCCTTTTTTAGCCTTTTGGAGCTTTTTTGGACTAAGAAATATCATTAAAGATCACAATTACCTTCAAGGTGTATTGCGTTTGATTATTGATAGTTCTCAACCATCGCCCCACGTAAGAGAATCCGGAATACACAAAATGTTAGGCTTTGGAATCCGGAATACARTTTATAATGGAATCCAGAATCCACCCTTTTGGATTTCCGGAATACTCCAGTTTCGAGTTCTTTTTGCTCAGTCTTAGTCTCGTTTGTGTTATAATATTCACCTTTTCAACCAAAACCCGTGGCATTTTAATCAACTCATATTGTTCCGTAGTGCGTACATTCCTTACTATACAATGGACCTTAATAAAAGAAAAGAGCACATTCGTACACAATCGAGGCCAAGACTGAGCAAAGGAGAACTCGAAATGGGAGCATTATAATGGAATCCGGAATCCTGAACCAGGGACACCTTCCTAGTTATACTGGCAAGTATATCAAATACAATTTTCAGAGAAAGTACCAGAAAATTAACGATATGGAATCCGGAATCCACAATACAAAAGTTTTGGAATCCGGAATCCAGAGTCTCGGAATCCGGAATCCAGCATAAGTCCGGATTCCCTTACATGGCGCGACAACCAATTATGCTCTCAACCCCAGTGCTCTAGATTTAGGTGAATATCACTACCAGATCGACACATATATTCCAACTAGAACTGTTACGATTGATACACCGTAGAGGAAATTATCAGTAGCTTGGTTTGTTAATAGACCCTAACCCCTATGACGTTGAATACCTAAACTAACACAATCCCTTTTCAAAACCTCTTCATATTCAAATGTCCTTTGAGAATACCAAGGTAACTGTGATAGTGACCATAACAAAAAGGCCACAAAGGTATAAACGTCACTATGCTTGAGGTCTTCTCACAATCGCGGCTCCGTAGATCTCAATCACAATTGCTATTTGAACCTGGGCAAGGAGCAAGCCATGCTTAGCATTAACCGACACAAGTTTGTTACGTTATTGTTGTTGGGGGCGTGTGCTTGGCAGGAAAAACTTTGACAATTTAGCTATATACATATATATGTAACGAAAGACAATTCGAAAAAGGGGGATATGCATATATATCGTTAAATTGTCAAAGTTTTAGGGATTCGATTCCGCTTCCGATTCCTTCGCTAGGATGAACCAGCCTTTAAAGGTCATTATAACTACGATATGACTCACTCTGGCTAGAGAGCGTGTCATTTTATAAATACCATCTTTAGCATATAGAAGAGATAACTAGCTAAAAACTAGTGTGAGCTGCGTCGGTGTTTCTAATGAAACAGTAATGATAAAAGGGTAAATTATACACCGTGGAAAGATGAAAAATCTTACTGACGTTTCGGACGCTATTCCTTTAGCATATAGGTGACGTCATGTATGTCTTTTCCACAAACCAATGGAATTTTAGAATTTTGTCCTCCTCTGTTTAACTGACAGTCACAGTTTTTAGTATGGGCTATAAATGGGGAATTAGTTCAGAGCAGCTTTTTATTCTAGACTGCTGCTGTTAATAATCTAGATGATCGCTGTCCCATGATTGTTTCATTCATACAAAGCCAGGTTCTCGATCATTTGTTGCCAGTGCTCCGTGTGCTTAAATTCTTCATCAGCTATTGAGTTGCCACTGATGTCAAACGTGGTTAGTTTGCACTCATTTCTAKCGAGTGCATCGGACAASTGCTTTAATCYTTCATCACCTATTTGGTTGTGACTGATGCCTAACGTGGTTAGTTTGCACTCATTTTTAGCGA